TCAATGAGATGGGTTATCTGGATCCCTTCCGGTCAGGTTTCAGATCTGGGCATGGGACCAAAATGGCATCAATCACACTTGTAGATGACCTCTGCTGAGAGCAGCATAAGGGTGATGCATTCATCCGCAGTCAACTTGATCTTTCAGCAGCCTTTGATACTATCGATCATGATATCCTTCTGTACCAGCTTGGGGGTTGGTAATAGATGGCACTATATTGTGCTGCTCCTCTTCCTTCTTCTCAGCTGGTTCCACTTAGTGTTGATGAGGGAAAAGGTCTTGCCTATGGTTCTTGATTTGCAGGGTGCTGCAAGGTTCAACACTCTCCTCACTTCCTGTTTAATATATACATGTAGCCACTGGGTGAGATCATTTGATGGCACAGGGTGAGGTAACATCAGTATGCTGATGATACCAGCTTTATATCTCCTCCCCAGGCCAAGGGATGCCATAGAGGTTCTATCTTGGTGGCTGGAGACTATGGGGGTTTGGATGGGGCAGAACAGGCTTTAACTCAACCCTAACAAGATTGAGTGGCTTTGGGTTCTAGGGTCCCCCCAATTCCAGGGTTTTTTCATCTCTTGTTCTGGATGGGGTTGCACTGCCCCAAACAGAACTGGTGCACAAGTTGGGAGTCCTCCTTGACTCAGCTGCTGTTCAAGAAAAAGGTGCCAGCTGGGGCCAGGAGGTTTTTTGCCAGCTTCTTGCTGTGCACAGATTGCACCATTTCCTAAACCAAGAGGCTCTGCTCATGACCATTCACACCTTAGGCACCTCCATGATGGACTTTTGTAATGCACTATAAATGGGGCCACCCTTGAAAAGTAACTAGAAGCTGCAGCTAATACAAAATGCAGCAGCATGAACCGTTATGGCACTTCTCGATCTGTGCATGTTACACTGCTGCTCCGTGAGTTGCATTGGTGGCCAGTATGCTTCCAGGTTGAACTCAAGGTCCTGGTGGTCACCATAAAGCTCTCCGTGGCCATGGGACCAGGTTATTTGTGGGACCGCCTCTCTCTGATCACATCTACCCATCCAATCAGATCTGGCAGGAGAGGCATGTTAACAGATCCTGTCCATTAAAGAGTGCCATCTGATGGAACCCAGGAAGAAAGCCTTTTCTGCCATGCTGCCTGCGCTTTAGAAAATCATCCCTCTCCCGCACTCCTGGAGATCAGATTAGCCTCAACCCTGTTGGCCTTTTTCAAGGCCCTAAATATGTGGCTGTGTTCCTGGGCATGGGGGTTAGAATGTTGGTTGGAGTCAATGAAATGGTTGTATTGAAATGATTATATTTATGATTGTTTCTGCTGGTTTTTTTTTTAAATCTCAGCTACCAATTGTCTATTTGTGTTTTCTGCTTTTATTTAAATTGGTTTTAGCCACTGAGAATCAATCCCTTGTTTGAGATGGGTAGTCTTATAAATTGAAATAAATAAATGTGGGAATTAACTTTGAAGAAAGCATCTAAAATAGCTTCTTGTTAACCAAGACTTTGCACAACTTACGGGGTTTATCAGCTGCACTGCACACCAATTGATGAGTCTTTTCAGGACTAGGAAGTAAATGTCACTTAGTAAGAAAAGGGTTTACTCTTCACTGAGTATCAATATCTTGACATCAGACTAACTAAATCTCTTTGATAATTACACAGAATTCAATCATTGCATGTTTCTTAAAGTGTACTGATGAGTACTCATGGCACACTTCCATTTCATGAACAATAGCAACACAACGTTTTCTCACAGTATCTTCCCAGTAACTGAAGTGAAAGAACGGTTGTTAAAGCACTTGCCAAAGTTTCAAGTGTATCAGCATTGCCATCTGTTGGTGGCTTACAATACTGGAGGCATTATTTTCCATTCAATTCTCATATGTCTCTCTTGAGACTCTCATCCAACCATGAGAAGTTGGAGGTTACAGCCTGGCTTATAATTGTCCATCTCTGATGCATTTCAGAAGTGCAAGTTGAAAAAACAGGCTTGTAAAACAAGAAAAGTCCTAGGCAAAATCTAATAAAATGGATCCAACAATAAATAACTCTGTAGATATAAAAAGAAGCTGACAAAACCTTGAACTTCTGAACTTTGAACAGCCTGAGATCAGGAATAATATGCATGACGCTAGCCTTACGTTCTGTTCCATAATCAAGCAGTAATATTCTGCACTGCCTGAAGGTTATAGATAATCTTCAAGGGTAACCCCATAAAGTGCTTGTTACAGTAATCTAGATGTAGAATTACCAAGGTATTGATCATTCTCCCAAGGTTATTTTTGTCCAAGAAGCTAGTGAATCATCTGGAGCTAGATCTTATCAAAATCTGAGCCTCTGGTGGTAAAATTTGATCAAGGAATATCCTTTAGCCTCGTATCTACTCTTTAAGAGCAATGCAACTCCATCTACTTTTCACCACCTGGACTTGGGAATTAACCACCACAAGTGTCTACATGCTGTTAAGATTGAATCTCAATTGAATTGCTCTGTATCCATTAGCACATTGATAACACAGGAATGTTATCAAAGCCATTTATCATAGCATCAAGGCAGTGAGGAGTGGATAGAATTCTGAATTCTGCTGGTATATCTTTGCACTTGTGGCAAGAAACAGCATCAGCTTCCAAAGCAGCCTGTCACATGGGACCACAAGCACTATATAGCATCCAACTACTGGTACTAGTTTCCAGTCATCTTTTGAGCACCTTGCTGTAAAGATTGTCAAGTAGTCGGAAGCTGTTTGAATTGATAAACTCAACAGGAGAGGTTTTCAAAAACTGTCTAATGGTCACTTCTTTCAATGACAGCTCTCATGCTGTTTGCATAGTCTCCACATAAGCCAAATATATTCAGTAGCCATTCCCATGATCATGACAACTGCAGCAGCCCTTAGAGGCTGTAGTAGTCATCTGTTGGTCAAGATAGATGGTTGCATAAAAAGTCATTAGTCTTAAGTTGCTGAGCTGCACTTATTTGTCAGTTGTGTCATGGCTATACTGTTGTTCTTCCAGTCTCTTTTTTAGCCTCATATTCTCATTTGTAATTCTCCACAAAAGACTAGTAACACCTATTGAGGATTTGTGAAGAAAACACATTAGACTTGTCACTATTAAAGCAATTGGTTGAGATTGTGCATGTGCCCCACGTGATGGAACAAACATTGAGATATATGAAACAACCTGCTAAGCTCATGCAGTAGTGTGTACTGTAAATAATGTTCCATACGTGGGGAAAAAAGCGAGAGTTGAAGCTGCAGTCAGTCAAACTTTTTGAAAGTATAATTTGTTGAACAACTCATAATGGCTATGTTGGATGGGTTTGCATGTTGCACTAAGCCAAAATTAAAGAAATACATATCTGTGTCTGGGGAGACACAGCTGCTTCAGGGAGTTGCAGACAGGTCTTCCATCAGCACCGCCCTGCCCTCTGAATGATCTTTTCCCCTTTGAATCTGAAATGCTGCACAGCCCTGTTGAACACAGTACAGACATATAGGCAAACTATATTCAGTAAAGCTTTACAATTTTTTGTAATATCTGAATTTACAAATTATGGTTTGCCACTGGGAATGTTTGTGGATGCCACAGGCCATCTTGAAATAACTCTAGAGAGGATGGAAGATGACCTTGACGGAGATGTGCAGGAACCATGAACTAGGCAAAAGGGGCTGAAGCATTTTTTAAGTTCAGGACAAGATAACATTCAGAAACAGTTCAGGCACGTGCCTCCCTAACTCACTGAATATAAGGAAGAGGAGGAGGAGGCCCAGCACAATCAAACTTGGAAGATTCTGTTATTATAGCCAATCTCAATAAAAGTAGTTATAGCCTTCCTGTGGAGTTGATTTCCTGGTCTGGTTTATCTAGTGGAGCTGACAATATCTTTCCTCCTGTAATTTGGCCATTAGAGAGAAGGGAACCAGTTGCCCCCTCCCATGCCATCTCATAGGATGTTGTCTCTATGAATTTGCCAAAACAACAATCAGTTGAATTGGCATCCTTAATAAAAGTTGGTGTACACCTCATGCTAAACTATAACTCCTTTGTTTAATTTAGGCTAGGCAGGTTGTTTGAACAGGTCTGTGTGTGTGTGTGTGCATGTAAGTGTGTTTGTAATTTAAGATGATGCGTGATTCAAAATCTGATAAACTTTGAAATTTTAGCTTGTATATGTTGGCAGATCTGTCTGTGTGGTCATTAAGAGTCAACAATCATTTTGATGGCATATGATAAGTGTTAGCCTCATTCACAAATTTTATTATTGTATGGTCAGTGGAAAAGGACTTGTACGTTTTATGGATAAGGATCTTAATGTAGTCTTCCAGTTAAGTACATTAAGTATCATCTATACACATCAGAAGGTTTGCTGCAGTGTTTGAGAAACCATAGGTTGGTCCCCCATAGGTTGGTCCCCAGGAACTTGACAAATCGGAATGCTGGGAAAGTGACATGCGAAAGCAAACAAGTTTTCCTTGTGTGTTTTTGGAAACTGAATCTGTGTCTTTGAGTCGACTGCTGATCACAAGTCATGGATTAGTATATCCTGGAAATGAAAGCACAAAGCGAAAATGTACGACTAGTAAGATTAAAAAAAAACCTATTTCACCAAAATCCTAGCAAAAATTATGGGTTGATTTTTAAAAACGTGGGCTGACTTTTATAGGAGAGATGAAAGAATCAAATCCAATTTGTATTGTTTGGAGGTTATGGGCCCGCACTGCTTGTCAGTCTGTAAGTACAATACTTAAAAACTGGATACTTTTTCTGCTGCTTGGCTTGCAGTGGTTTCACATTCTGTCACACACACATCCACAAACTCAGCTGAAGAGGCAGCCATTTCTGGCAAATAAAAGGGGTGTCTGAAGGTGCTCTTTTTCAGACGGTTCTCAGATGCATTCACCAGGAGGTGGAACTTTGGAGCACCACCGAGCTCTGATTGGTTGACTTCACAAAACTTTTCCTCTATTAGTCCCAGCCCCCTTTTCTTCTTTTGAGAAGTTCATTTTGCTGCCTCTCAAATAGGCACGTCATCTAAATCTCCAAAGATTTAGGCTGATACCATGGGTTCCGAAGTAGATGATTCTAAAGAAGGTATGCTTTTTAATATTTTTTTTTCTCCCAAGGAGGTTTTTTTCTTTAAAAAAAGTTGCTTTCCAAGCTGCTTCTGGCAGCAATATGAGATGGTGAATAGAGGTTTGTATTTGCTGTAATACTGAACTGTTTTTAAGGGAGGGGAGAGAAAGCAAAGGAATCTGAAGACAACTATTCGCATTTCACTGGAAATGCAGCGACTAAATCCTTGACACCAAGGATGTTTTGTTCTTTGTACAGTGACAATCATACACAAAGTGTAGATTAGAAGCTCTGTGTATATTCACAGGCAACAATGGCTTGAAAAGGGAAGATATACGTTAGTTTGAATGCCCTCCGACTTTTGTAAAAGGAAGTTGTGTAATTCAGAGAACTGAAAGATCGTTCTTTTAAGAAGGAGCTTTCTAGAATGAGTTTTACTAGTTGATGCATGTTGAATTTAATAACAATATGTCTGTGATAAAGCTTGTCAAAAGGGAAATAGCCTTCCTTTCTTTCCATGGTATGATGAGCATGTGGAAGATCTGGAAATGTTCCAAGAAAACTGAATATTTACCAGCGTAAATTTGGGTTGGGTTGGGAAATGACTGGTGGAGGAAGAGGGGTTTTTTTCCCTGAAAATTTAATGCAGTAGCCTACTTGAGTCCAAGGAGAGGGTAAATACCTCTGAAAATGTGAGCATATTTTAAACAGCTCAAATTTCCTGACTTGCTAAGAAGCCAGATAAACTGCTGGTATAAACCACACTAATTAGATCACCAGTTTGATAGTGAGCTAGGAGACTTCAAAACATTGCAGAAAGCTGCTTTCTTCTAATCTGACAATCCCTATCTTTTCCACATATATCTAGTGTGAATTAAAAGTTTGTTTGTTTCTGATGCAAGGCATTTGGCTCAGCAAAAGTCACTTAATTTAGGATAGCTGCTTAAAGTATACACTGGTGGAACAAATTTATTCAAATGCTCCCATATGCTAGCCTTTTCTGTTCAGGCAAGGGAATAACTGTGAATCTAAATCCAGAGAAATATGCTAAATCCTTTTTCCTGTAGCTGCTTTAGAATCTAGCATTCCTTTGACAACATGCTCGTTCCACTTCTTTTGTGTAGTAGATGAGTAAGCAGCATGCATGCCATGACAAGACAAGGAGTAGGAAGAAAATTTAAAAGTGATCTTAACTTTACCTGCAAATTCAGTTGGCTAAATTAGCTCAGCTATCTTTGTTCAGGAGAGTTAGTCATATCAGTACCTTGAAGTACCATTCATTGTTTCTGTTTTTAAAAAACTGCTGAAGTTAACACAGGATGGAGCAGTGAAGAAAGAATAATGGTGGCTTTGGCACCAATGAAAATTAAATTTATGCTGTATTTTGTTTTTGTTTTTTATTGTATTTTGCTTTTTTAAAAAACTGAAGGGTTAGATTATGATATTTTAATTAAGGGGGTAATTCTAAATTCCAATTCAACTTTAAATTAATTTCTAAAATATTTGACAGTTGAGTTGCTGTATGGTTTTATACCTCATGGAGAAAAACTGTCTATGTGGTCGCTAAGACTGACTTGATGGCCCATAATCAGTCAATCAGTCAGTGGCTTTACACTACAAAAATCTTTGGGAATATATACGCCTAATGGATGTCTTTTGAGTGCCACTCCTTCGGTTACAAAGCATGCAATGCATTTTTACTCAGATTTAAATTTCACTGGGTTTAGGAAGATTTACTTCTAGGTAAATCTGTATGGGATTACTGCCTTGAACAGGTAGCTGCAAGTAACAATGGATGGTTTGTAGAGGTATACTCCTAAGGAGACCATCAGTCCCAGTTACTTGGTATCTTTTGCTCCTTTGCCTAAGCAGTTGGGTTCAGATAGTGTTTAGTTAATAGTTGCTGCTCCTCCTGATTCTATTTCAGCTGTATGACTGTTGTATGCATCTGTTTTCTATTTTAATTGTCTTATAAACTGTTGGATAATTCATGAAATAAGTGGGGTAAGGGCTTTAAAAGATTAAAGTATCTAATTTAATTGAAAAACAAAGTACGAACTAGAAAGCTTAGCTTTAAAATACATATGTTAATTATCTTCTAAAGTGATAAAATTGTAAATTTCATCAACTTATATCTTATGCATTTTTTGGCTTTTTGTATAACTTCCAGAAGAAGGATACTCAGATATTGAACTTTTAATCAGCAATGCCAAACACATTGCTGATTCTACTGCTAAGGAGCAATTGGACTGGATCTTTATAAATGATATCTAAACCACAGTGCATTGCCAGAAATGTGCTTTTATCATATTTTCCATTACATTTTAGTCTATCAACTATTATTAGAAGCCTTTGTATTGATCAAACGTGCAGCCTAATAAAATGTAAGTGATATAACATATATGTAATTTAATACAAACTCTTGGGTATTGGAGATGGGGGAAAATATCCTTATCAGGATATTTGTTTTCTAGTTCATTTTGAAGAAATATTTCCCTCTCTTTGGTTGCACTTCTCCTTTGTGCAAAACACACTGGCCTTACAACATATTTTGGGCTGGTCAAAATAAGGCCTATAGCTATCTCAGCCACTTCCTTACATTTGGAATAGCTGAAATAGGAAAAAAAAATGAAAAGCTGAGACAAGCTTTATACCTTCTATATATCAGGGATATGTAGCCTTAGTTCATGGGCCTAATCTGGCCTGCCAGGCCAGCCCTATTTCAGCTTATCTTCCCAGCAGCATGAAATGCTTTAGTTGTCCTACATTTTATGATAAAGCAGCAACAGTTGCTTTATCAGGGTGATCAACTTGGAAGAGTGATTGTGCTTCAACTGCCCTCCACTTTCCCTGATTGTGGAAATCATTTGTAACAAACTATTCTTGCTAAAGCACAATGTGGGATGTAAATCTGAGGAAACATACACAGAGTTGTGGTATCTTTGGAACTTTGTGATTTCATTTCCCTCTAAAACTATCCAATTGTCAGGGCTTCCCTCGAATTGTATCCCCTTCATCTTTCTATTTCAGTTATAGAATTATTACAAAACTCTTGTCCAGGCCATTTGTAATACAAGGGTATGTGCTTTCTGTTGATTCTCCTTCTCCACTTGTTGTTGTCAGTTTTGAAGTGTTTCAAATGCAGGCTGAATACACTAGTTTTCTATTCTATAAACCAGGAATGGGTCAACATGTATCTTCTCAACACCCCAAGACTGCACGCTAAACATTTTGCTCAAAAAATGGAAGCAGTGGCTCTTTTAGACATTTTCCAAGGTTTTAATGACAGAAATGGGAGCAAGAAGCTCTAGTTGGCAAGCCATGCT